AAGGGCCAGTGGTCCCCCAGGCAGGTTGGGCGCTGCCCTCTCCTTTGCACCCACACTTCCCATGGGGTTTTCTGGTGCCCAACAGCAAGGAATGGTCTCTTCTTGGCTGGAATAGCTGCCTGAGAGACTGGGAGTGAACTAGGAACCCTTCCCCATGGAACTCGCGCCTGTTCAAAGCCCCAGAGACACAGACCCACCTTCGCAGTTGACACCAGAGCTGTCCAGGGAGAATCCTTTCTGGCACTCGCAGTTGTAGCTGCCCGGCGTGTTCAGACACTGTCCTTTGGCTCCACACAGAGAAGGCTGAGCCGTGCATTCATTATTGTCTGCAAAACAGGGAGCTGCTTGTGAGTCCAGCCCCAACGACGTGTCTGCGTGCAGCTTAGCAGGCAGCTACCTCGCGTGGTGCGGCTTCGCCTGGTCCGAGCAGCAGGCAGACAGGTCAGCTGCACAACCCCAAGCCCACCCGAGAGGGGCAGTGCTCTGGAGCCAGAGCTGGGGTCTGGAGAGATTCTCTCGGGCTTAAATCCAACCCATGGGGTCATTACTGGTGCTGCACAGCAGAGCAGAGACGGCCTCTACTCACCGATGCAGGATGAGTGGTGCTGAGTGAAGCCTGGGGGGCATTTGCAATTGAATCCCCCGATGATGTTCACACAGAGGAACTGGCAGTTGTGCTGCTTGGTGGAACATTCATCCAAGTCTAAAACAACAAGCACAAGGACACGTGTCTCAATTTATCTTACTGAGATGTCTGACCTCTGTGGTCTCAGCCTGTGACACCCGCATGGACATGGTGACACAGAGTGGTCCTGGGCAGACCAGGACCTGCCATGGGCCAGCCTCAGGAACAACACACACACAGTTCTCACATGAGAATAACAAATCCAAGGAGCTTCTCCCCACATCAGCTGCTGGTCCTATATAGACACGTTTAGAAGATTTTTATTTTTTTTTTCTCTCTTGGAATGCACAAATCCCCGATTCTCAGGCCACCCTCCTCACAGCCTCATCCATCAGGACGGCAGGAGGTGGGCAAAGCCCCAGCCTGGCAGCTGCCAGCACCAGGAGGGGCCCAACGGTGACTCTGACACACTTGTAGGAGGACATGCAGGTTCAAGGCCCCTGCAGCTCAGTACAGCTTGGCACATGCTGTGCAGTCTATAGGAAAGGGCAAGGAATTGGCTCTTTTTCCTGAAGAGACAGGTCTAGAGTGTCTGTGGGAGGATGAAACTCTATTGGATCAGTCCAAGAGGGTCTGGCATGGCTCCTTTTTCCATGTCTACCCGTCCTGTGGCTGAGCAGAAGGACTCAAATGTCCCGTCGGTCATTAATCAGCCTTTGCCACCCCCTCTGCTGCCAGAGATGAGGCCTTCTCCTGGGTAAATACCTTTGCAGACCTTCCCATCTTCTTGCAGAATGTACCCTCGGGGGCAGGAGCACTGGTAGCTGCCTTCTGTGTTCTTGCAGATGAAGTTACAGGGCTTAGGGGACTGGTTACACTCATCCAGATCTAGACTCGAGAGACAAGACACATCAGCACTCACAGGTTGTGCTGGGTACCCACCACCCCCTGGACCATTTGCTCTGCCAAAGGGCTCCTGAATCCAAAGGTGATCCCAGGTTTCATGGCCCCACATAATTAATAAATGCATCTTTTTCCACTCTCCAGGATGCAGAGACATGGGCTTTGAGGGAGCCCTTCAGTCAGAGGGAGAAGACAAGGGGCTTCAGGTTTAAGGAGTTAAACAACCTGGAGCGATGACTTTGATGCACAGAGGACTGGGCAAAGTGTCCAGAGCCCTGCTCTGGATGTGGAGGCCAGGATGGCCGAAGGTGAAGGCAGCTCGCAGGTGGGGACCCTCTCTTGGAATGCTGTAAGGTAGGGCTGGAAGTCTGCCAAGGTCAAGGGCTGCCCGAGACACGGGTTTTCTTCTCCCGACTCACCCACGCAGGCTGTCCCTGTGATGTCCGCAGTGGGCCCCTGGGAGGGCCGCAGTGTGCCCCAGCCTGCAGTGGCAGCGGAAGGAGCCGATGCTGTTGATGCACTGCCCGTTCTTGCAGAGGTTGGGCAGCACCTTGCACTCGTCGATGTCTGCGGGAGGGAAGAGGAGGGACCTGTGAGTGTCAATGTCACCCCTGTCCCCACACTTCTGTGCCAGGGGAGCTCAGGCTTTCCCAGGGAGCCAGAGATGACACTCAGGGAGTTGTAAAATAGAATCACAGAATGTTAGGGGTTGGAAAGGACCTCAGAAGATCATCTAGTCCAGCCCCCTAAATAATGTCGCCAAGGCTTCTTGTCTGCTCCAGGCATCGCGTGGGTCTGGCCCAGATGGTTCCCAGGGGAATTCCGCCTGCAACCACATCTCTGCTGTCTCCCCTCTGCCCTGAAGGTGATATGGGCCCCAGCTCACCTCTCCCATCAGTGGAGTAGCCTGGCCCATGAGGACACATTTTCTTGTACTGGGCAGTTCCAGGAAGGGGACAGAGCTCACACTGGGGGCCCCAGCTGCGCCCGCTGTTGCAGCAGCACTCAGATTTGGTGACCAGGTTGCGGTTGGTGGAGGACATCTGGCACATGGTCTGCAGCACTTCCGTGAAGCAGAATCCTTGGCGAGTGTCTGGACAGAGAGAGTAGGGACACAAGGTCAGGACCTGAGTCAGTGTCGGCACGAGGGATAACCAAGCAGCCTGTCCAGACTGTGCCAGTTCCAGCACGGAGGGCTAATGTACTTCGGGTAATGCTAAAGGTGAAGGTGATGCCCCAACAACCTTTCTTCCCAGAAACCCTGTAACACCCAAAAAGCATCATCTGCTACTAAAGAGGGGCTGCTCAAGGTCCACCAGGACTTGGTAATTACCAATACACTCTGTGCCAGAGGGGCTGACTTCAAAACCTTCATTGCAATCGCAGCGGTAACTTCCCACCGTGTTGATGCAGCGGCCATTGGGGCAGATGCCAGGCTTGGTGCGACACTCGTTCTCATCTAGAAAGGAAGGAACCACAAAGAGCTGCGGTGAGGCACAGGACAGATTTCAGCTCTCCATGACTCCCTACGCTACCACTCAGCTCGAAACACTCTCACATAGTCCTCAAGGAGCACTTCCACAACCTCAAGCAGCTGAGAAACGTATCCACCTGTCCTGGACCTCTCCCAAAACGGGGCGGCTTCCTGGCTTTGCACATTCTGCAAGTGGCCAAGCTGCTGGGCTAGGAGTGGAGCTGGGCTTGCTCTG